GTCCCGTATCTAACGATATTTGAAAAAGTCCACATACATCCAACTTTGGTCTATTTGTCAGTTTTTTTTTTTTGCCTTCTACTTTTTGTTTAAAATGTTGCCATTTCTCTAACAACTGCTAGCGGATGATTAAGATTTTTTTTCTACGTATTTAAAAAAAGTTGTTAAACCAAACGATTGAGTTGCACTACACTATTTCACCACTAGCAGCAGTAGTGCACCACTCCGATGTTTAACAACTTTAAAAAAGTATGACATCAAGGGGCCCTCTGCAGTAGGGGAGTTCCTTGTTGTGTGGGTGGAGTTTGTCCTAAATKTGATTGGTGGAGTTAGTGTGTGGGCGGAGCTTGGCAAAACTGTGATTAGTTGGATTGACATGTCTTTCAGGGCAACTTAGATAAGGAAGTAATGGTAATTATTGTAAACATGTAAATATGATTTATTGACTTATTTCTAGAACTTTCTTGTCTCAAGTTCTGACTAAAATTAAAATTTATATTTAAAAAATATATGTGCATCCTTGTCGTTTCTACAAAGCTACTCCCAGCTTCCCTCAGCAACCAATCACATCTTTAACAAAAGTCAAACAGACCAATCATGTCTTGGAAAAACTCCTCCCACAAAACAAGAAACTCCTACTTAGTGACTCCAGTTACACTCTTCTCTGCTGTAATGGTCCACAGATGAAAAACCRAATTTTYTTTTGAGGCCTTCAAGGTGGCRATTGTGGCCCGATTGTGGGTTGCGGCCCAAGGGTTAAGAATCTCTGATTTAGAAGGCTGCCACCTTCAGCTTGCACTTACTTTTTCTTACTCTTTACACACCAAAACTCTTCCAACTTTCATAAATCATTTATTAATCTTACTAGAAATAACCAGAGAGCTACATTTAAAATGGTGAGGAAGTAYCAACAAATCCCTTGACTGCAGAAGAAAACTTTTKTGTCACATTTGAGTCCAGAGAATTKACTCTGAGTTGAGTGGAAGGGATTTTTTTTCTTCATTTTTTCTGAGCCTGTGTGTCCCTTGTTTGTTTGCAACTTTTATCAAAGTACACATAACATATTTTATTGTCTCGTCAGTGTAACATTGAGCAAACACACATACAGTAACATGTTCTGAGCAGAAAGTACCAGATCTGTTGATTTAGTTCATTATAGATGTAAAAACAGAACACTTCTGTGTGTGTGTGTGTGTGTGTGTGTGTGTGTGTGTGTGTGTGTGTGTGTGTGTGTGTCAGGACAGAGAAGAACGACTCCCCTCAGAGACCATACCTAATGGTGTCTTACGACGGGACAGTGTCTTCTGAAGAAGAAATGCGGGTGGTGAGCACCTGCAAGATGGACGTCCACAAGTTCCCCTTTGACACTCAGGAATGCAGCATAACCATTGGTTCTTCACTACACAGCAGTGAGTTTCAATCAGAATTGTGACCACTTGTTATTTTCAAAGATTTGCGCCCTTATTTTCTTTTTCCCCCTCCCTCCACAGTAGATGAAATGCAGTTTTTTCCTTTCTCAAACTCCTCTCGGGCCACAGAATTTTCCCGAGAGTTGATGAAGACTCAGGGAGAGTGGGAGTTCCTGCAGCTGTCCATCAATGCCTCCAATGTCATCTTCCAGAATAAAAGTTGGGGTTTGCTTACATACTCGGTAGGCAACAAAGCTGAGAAGAAAAACACAACAATCTCCAAAAAATCAAATCTGGTACTTTTTAGATCAGCAGCATAGAAAACTGGAGATCTTTCTCCACAGTGGGGTCCAATGAAATCAAGAAATTAGGTTCTCTGAAGGGTTGTTTGGGTTATTAAAACTTATCACCCCAATTCCAATGAACTTGGAATAATATGAACATAAATATAAAAACAGAATACAACGATTTGCCGATACTTTTCAACCTATACTCAGTTGAATRCACCACAAAGACACTGTACAGTGATTAATATTCAAATGGATAAACTTTGTTGTTTCTTTGAAAACATTCTCTCACTTTGAATTTAATGCCTGCATGTTCCAAAACTGCTGGGACATGGGCAACAAAAGACTGTGAAAGTTGAGGAATGCTTAAAAACACCTGTTTGAAGCATGTAACGCCACATTATGTAATAATGTAATAAATTTTGGCTTCAAAATGTAATAAACCCGCACTAAAATCGCATGTAATAGGTAATACGTCTCTCAGCCGCATTATGTAATAACATTATTACATTTTGTGTTGCTTGTTACAAAATATGGTGGTTTATACCCTTGTAATAATGGTCATGTTAGATACTAAATATTTAAATCTTTGAAACTTTGGTTAATAAATGCCAAACTTATAATTTAGTTGCCTATTCATGGCCAGATTCCTTTGTATTAACCAGCACAATGCGCATGGTGCAGAAAAACAGTGCATCTGTCTCAGCCGAGGAACAACACGCACAATGTGACACACCGTCAATCACAACGCTCCTGCTGYGTTTAAAAATAAATACATTAAAATTTATTTTAATTTCTTAAAATAAATGTGAATCACRTTTACAGTCAGTGTCACTTCACCTTCTGTTCATCTTCATGAAAAAAATGAAAAAATACTTTCACTGACCTCACCCTCTTCCTAGTCTTTGTTTTGCTGCATTTTTGTTTCTTTGACATAGTTTCTATTACATTATAATTTCAAAAAAGACCAACCAAAATGTAATACTGTTACATAATGTGGCTGAGAATGTGCTGAAGACTTTTATTCCATTTTGAGTAATTTATTACATATTGTGGTTTTAGTGCGGGTTTACTACATTTTGAAGATACATTTTATTACATTATTACATAATGCAGAGTTACAGAGCATTCCACAGATTAATTGGAAGCAGGTGGGGTATAAAAGGAGCATACCCAAAAGGCTCAGTCATTCACAAGCAAGGATGGACTGAGGTTCACCACTTTGCAAAAAACTGTGTGAGCAAATAGTCCGACAGTTTAAAAATGATGTTTCACAACATACAATTGCAAGGAATTTAGGGATTTCATGATTTACGGTCCATAATATCATCAAAAGATTCACATCTGAAATTTGGCAGCAAGGCTGCAACATTGAATGCCTGCGACCTTTGATCCCTCTGGTGGCACTGCTTTAAAAACCAACATCATTCTGTAGCAGAGATTACCACATGGACTCAGGAAGACTTAAGAAAATTGTTGCCAATTAACACAGTTCATCCCTACATCTAAAAGTTCAAGTTAAAACTTTGTCATACATAATCAAAGCCAGATACCAACACCCAAAAACGCCACCGGCTTCTYTGGACCTGAGTTCATCTGAGATGGACTGATACAAAGTGGAAAAGTGTCCTGTGGTCTCACAAGTCCACATTTCAAATTGTTTTTGGAAATCATGGACATTGTGTCCTCTGGTCCAAAGAGAAAAAGAACCGTCCRGATCGTTATCAGCACAAAGTTCAAAAGCTGGCCTCTCTGATGGTATGGGAGTGTATTAATGTCTATGACATGGTCAACTTCCACATCTGTGAAGTCACCATTAATGCTGAAAGCTACATACAGGTTTTGGAGCAACATATGCTGCCATTCAAGCCATGTTTTTTTTTTTTCAGGACGTCCTGCCTTTTTCAGCAAACCAATGCCAAGCCACATTCTGCACGTGTTCCAACAGCGTGGCTTCAACAATTACTGTCCTAAGTTCCCAAACGCTTACTGAGTGTTGTTAAAAGGAAAAGGGGATGTAAATATACCTCTGTTTCAGTTTTTTGAATGTGTTACAGGCATCAAATTCAAAATGAATGAATTTTTGCAAAAAAATATTAAGGATCCATTTGAACACATAACGTAACCACTTGAATATAAGGATTTGCAAATCATAGTATTCTGTTTTTATTTGTATTTTACATAACATACCAATTTAATTGAAATTGGGGTTGCAGTTGCTGAAATTGTTTAGGAAATTGCAGATTTTGCACTTACAGTATACTGTACCTCTTCTCCTTCCCTTCAGTATGTACATATACGTTGTGTGGTAGAATTATCATACTGATTTATTTTATCATTGTGAGGAAAGACAGATGATAATGTCAGTGATGATACACTAAAATACATCTAATTAAACAGAGTAGTTGTTGGAAAGGAATGGAATTTGTCTAATATGTTAATCACTCTTACAGATATGAAACTCCTCCAAAATAATTATGGAACCCTTGTGAGCAAAGGGCTAAATTGAGAATGAGCATAAATCAAGGTACACTATTTACCCCTGTTGTCTGTTTTTCCAGGTTACCATAAAGAGGAGACCCCTCCTCCACGTCATAAATTTCTTGTTGCCCATCCTGTTCTTCCTGGCTCTGGATCTTGCCTCCTTCTATATCCCTGACCACGGAGGGGAGAAGCTGAGCTTCAAAGTCACGGTGCTGCTGGCCATCTCTGTCCTGCTGCTCATCCTGAAYGACATCCTGCCCTCCATGTCCAACAGGACTCCTCTCATTGGTAGAAATGCCTACTTAAGCAACAGTGAACTTCTGAAATGAACAGTCCTAATGCCGTGTTTCCTACTTTCAGCGACCTACTGCATCGTGATTTTTGGTTTGATGCTGTTCAGTCTTTTGGAGACAATTTTGATCACATATCTGCTGGAAAAAGACTCTAAAGATGAGTTTCAGGACATCGAAGATGACAAACCTAAACTTGTCCAGACTGAGACCTGCAATACAGGTGAAAGTTACATGATGTATCTGAAATATATAATGAAATATTTTAGTCCTAAAGATCAAGTTTCAGTTTTTTAATCTAGTACAGTGACTTAATGTGTGATTGACAGATCATTATAATGACTTTGCATTTAAACAAAACCAATACGGCTCTTTTAAAATGCTAAGCTTAAGTCTTCCAAACACTCTGCACGTTTTTAACGTGTATCACTGTTAATGACCTTTTTTCTGTGTTGACAAAAGGTGAAAAGGAAACTGGCTGTTCTTGCATCTGCAGAATGACTAAAAGCAAAAAGCAGCACGAGTTCCTGCGTGTTGCTGAAGAGGTACAGCATTACGTGCACAGTTTTATACAAATATTACATTTTCTGTGTGTTAATAAAAGAGTGATTTACAGCTTTATATTAACCTAGAGACAAAATAGTGGGACTGAAATTAGTTGTGTCTTGTTGAAGGGTTGGAATAAAAATATCTGTTTGCAGGTGAACCACATCGTCCAGTCAGGAGAGTCTCACGTGTTGCTGCTGATCCTGGACGAGTTGAAGAAGCTGCAGAAAATCGCTTGTTTACATCTCGGCTGCAAAGAGGAGAAGAGGAAGTCTGTATCCTGGGCAAAGAAAATCAACAGCGCTTTCTTCGTTTTCTACTTCGTCACCGTTTTGCTCTTTTTATCCTTCATCTTCATGGAATGGAAAGCTTAACAATGTTGGAAACAAAATTTGCCGCAGATCCACAYGAGCATGTCGTTTCTTAACGCAGGAATGTTGCTGAATAAACGTAAAAATGATGCTGGGTTGTGCTTTTAGAAATGCAGGTTTTTGTTTTGTATCATAAACAACTTTAATGTGAATTAGCATTTCAGATTCAAAATGTAATAATTCATTAGGCATGAATATACTGTTTGTTTGAAGAAAATTGTTTCCAAACTATATGAAATGCTTGTTTTTTCATATATTTGCTCTGAAAGTRCAGGAGTTATTTATTAGAAGAGTTGTATAAGAAGCTGAAACATCAGCCTCCAGAATTCCTATTTATTAATATTTATTTATACATATATATCTATGTATTCCTCTAAAAGCATAAATATCAATGTAATATAATCATAATTTGAGTTACGACAACACTGAATTTCCTTTTGGGATTAGTACCATTTTTTTAAATGAATTGAATTACGAGGAGGGAAAATACATGAAAAAGGTTTGTTTTTTCTTTTAGATTTCAAATCAGCTGCAGAAAAGAAATCTTCACCCTGGACTTCAGTCATTGGATGAAACAAACTGATTTCTGACAAACATCACTACTAGGGGTGCAACGATACTGAAAATTCACGATTCGATTCARTTCAATATTTTAGTCTGACGGTTCGATATTTTTTCGATACAAAAAAGAGAAACATCCAAGCCCTTTTTAACTTGTAATTTATTTAAATTAATTATGAACATTTGTTTGACCTCAAAAGTACAGTTTTTAAATTAAATGTTGCTGAAACAACAAGTTTCTCTGTGGATCTGCACTCGACAATGCAGGTGGAGTAGTCGCACACAGATCCACTGAGCCTTTAACACAGAGCATCTTCAGAAGACAAGTTGATAAAATAAATGTAAAAAATCTGTGTTGTTCGATACAAGTTTGTGTTGAACCTAAAGCACTGTATTGAACGGTTCGATMCGGGTACATGTATTGCTGCACCCCTAATCACTACATACCCTTTTCAATTAGTCTCCATTGATATCTTACATCTGAAGGAACGCAGCAGAGGAGGGTATGAATACATCCTTGTGGTGATGGACCATTTCACACGGTTCGCCCAGGCTTATCCCTGCAGAAACAAAGCAGCCAAAACAGCTGTAGACAAAGTATTGGATGATTTTGGACCAATGTTTGGTTTCCCCACAAAACTACATCATAACCAGGGGAAGGAGTTTAAAAAATAAGCTTTTTTCAACACTGCCATACCACCTTCAGGGGAACGGCCAAGTGGAGAGTTTCAACAGGATGCTGCTTTTGCCAGAAGTGGAGAAAGCAGACTGGAAATCTTCACTAGCAAAAGTGGTCCATGCATGCAATTGCACCTGCAGTGAAGCTATATTTCCTCTCATTTGGTCGCCAACCCAGGCTCCCCATTRATCTCATGTTTGGTCTCAGTGCAGGTGACCAAAGCTTATCTTACCAGGACTATGCAGAGAAACGGAGGGCAAGAATGAGTAGGCATATCAGCAGGCATCCAGAACAGCAGGTGATGAGTGGGAAGGCTCTTTATGACAGGAAAATGCAAAGTGAATGGATGGATGATGATGGAACAGGGCAACAACCTTGTCAGGGTGAGGAAGTGGATGCAGCACTGGAGGATGACGTACAACCAGAGAGGGTGGGCAGTAGGGATAAATTGCAGCAGACAGCCCCCAGTGACCAAGAAGAGGTTGACACATCACATCACTGAATGCGAAAGTATACTTCTCAAACAAGAAAATCTAAGTTGAGAGTTATTTATCATAAATTAGGACAGCCTGTTATGTCATGTGAAAAAATACAAAGTTGTGCTTGGTGAACTATGTTAAAGCTGTAATAAGTTCAGTGAATTGGCGAATGTATACATTTTTGTATTTTAGAAAGGGTACTGATGAAGTCAGTTTTAACAAGTTTAGACAGTAAAACCTGCTTCTATTTTAAAGTACTTTTTTCTCAAGAGAGATTACAGATATTTGTGCTATGCGAATCAAGTGGTGGATTGTCATCATGCACAATGACATCAACTGCTGAAATGTGACATTAACACATCATGTTTCAGGACTGAATACATTATGGCCTCTCTCTACACTTACTGTACAATCTCTGACTCTTGCCTARAAGTACTCTGTATGTTTGCAAAGTATCATGAGAACATGTGAACTGATTTATTTTCTGTAAAATGTTGGGATGACATTGCATTTTTGAGGGGAGAGTGTGTGAGAATAAATTTTAGATATAACACTCCCCTCCATTTTAATTTATATTATTTCAATGGAAGATTGTTTATGGCATTTTAGTAAATGTTGCTGTTGGCAATTGTTCATTGAGCTCCAATCATTCCCCATTATACAAATGGTATTACAGAAAGCATTTAGTGGCAACAGTTCAACTCAAGGTGGCCTATAGGGAGATGATGTGCACTAAGTGGAAGCTGGTGGATTTTTCTCCATTGGGGCTGATGGTGGGGGGGGGGGGTCCTACAACTTGAGTCCCTTCAGATCCAATATGTGACAAAACCCATCTGTCTTTTTGGCACAAGGAATTATGTTGAATATTAGCCCCCGGGTTGCTGCAGAGGCTCCACCGCCTCAATTGCACCCTGGTCAGAGGGGTGGAAAGCTCCTGGTCTAGTGCTTGGGCTTTCACCGGGTTGGTGATTATTGTCATTTTGACTCAGCGGGRGATGTCAGGCCGCTGTCAGAACTGAAGCTGGTAATCACTGGTCAAAGTGGCAATCACACATGGATACTCAGCATTAAAAATATCAGATCTGCCTGGTGGCATTGGTTTTTCCCCGCCATGGCCCCTAGAGGCCTGGGGSTGGGGCTAGAGTCTGAGGCCCAGGCCCGCCTAGCTGGGTGGGGWGCTGATTCACGAAAGCCCCTGCTGGTTCTCTGCTGTACAGCCTGAAGATAAGAGCCACCTACCACCCCAAATGACAACCAAACRTTGGGTCCAGTCAAAAGGCGCCTCGACTGGAAAAATAGTCTGTATTAAGAAATAGAAGTTTAACATAGTAATTATGTCTATTATTACATTAGGGGTTGTGTTGACGGGGAGTTAGATTGGTGAAGATTGATAGCTTATGACAGCAAAGATTTAATAAATTTGTACTTCTTCCCACTCCTTTTCGTAATATGAATTAAACTGGAAAAACTAATCCAAATAAACCAATCAAATAAACAAAAAGTAATCGTGACAGAAACAGACTTAAACCACTGCTCAGATCTATGCCTCAAATGTTTTTATTCATTCATTTTGTGCAAAATCTCAAATGATTTAAAAACATTTGATCCATCTTCTACTCTTTGTGGAACATTTATTTTTTTTTGCTTGATCATAGAGAAGTAGTATTTGTATAATCTTGACYAATTTGGAGAACAATAATACAAGCATGTATTTATGAGAAGCTGTTGAAGCAGCTTCCTTTTTTTTCTGTAATTTAATCTGGAAAGAACTTGACCATTGATGCAAGACGTGGGCGTAACTGTCCGCAGATGGCTCTCAGACTAATGGGAATATAAAAAAAAAGATACACATCAGTGTTCTTGTTTGCCCTGCCCCCTTTTCAGCACTGCCACAAAATATCTGAAAACATCTTCATGCAGCACAGAAAAAGACGAGCGCACGCGTCAGATTCCCAAATGTAAGGTGTTGGAATCATGATGCTCGCTGGCTTCCTCTTTCTGCTCTTCATCTCTGGTGAGTTTGAACAATATTCAACACAATATATTGACAATTCAGAGACTTTTTGAACAATTTGTAGTTAAAGTTGATTTAACATGAGTAAAAAGTGTGAAAAAGAGTGGTTTAAGCTTGTTTGATGTATTTATTATTTTCTTTTCTGCTCAGCTGTCGAGAAACAACTGAAAATAAGCATAGTTATTTGTTTATGTCACAGGCTTAAAATAAAAAAAATATATAAAACATTCAATTATATATGGACAAAACCATGTTGAATACAGTTAAGCATCTAATCAGATAGTCTGCATAATTCCATCTGGGTTTTATTTTATTTTATTTTATTTTAGTTTTTGGTCATAAACGAAGGATGAGACAGTTTGTGACATGATAAAATTAAAACCAGTACAGCTGTGAAAGATTTAATCAAACACTTACTCCTGGAATAAATCTGCTCATTGATCTAAAGAATTACTGGTGAAATCAAACCCTTCAGTCACACCAGTACTCCTCTCATAATGGCGTCTTGATGATCATAATCTATCCTAATGGTGTGGTGTTTGTGATGTTCTCATCAAAAATACTGACCAAACAAGAAAATTAGTGCTATCAAATGTCGATTAAATGTTGTGATGTAAGTAATAAACTCACAGAGTAACAAAAAAGAGTTCATTTGTGTCTGTCGATATTTTTTTTCCTGCAGATGAAGTTCATGCAGAGCAAATCTGCAGTTATCAGGAAGTTTTAAACTACTTAAACATTACCAAAGACAATGAGCTGTACTCCATGACCCGTCCGGTGAAAAACTATAAACATCCCACACAGGTTTCCCTGGAAGTTCTTCTCTATGCCATTCTAGATGTGGTAGGCATTCAATTCTTTGTTTCCCAAATTTTTAAATATATATAAAGAACTTTAGAGCCTGTTGTGTAATTTCAAACACACATCATGATGTTTCAAGATATTTCTGAACACTGGAGCTTCTTTTGCATAAAATAGCGATCTGAAACAAGGCTCAAATCATAAAAAAAAGAAATGTGAGCAACAATTTGATCTATAATCATTATTTTTGCAGCAGTTTTTTTTACAGTGAAAATGATTTTCCGCCTTTATTTGTTGTTTACAGGTTGAGAAAGACCAAAAGTTCATTCCTTATGTTTGGACCGTCACAGTAAGTTCGTTTCAATAAATCTCCAGCTCAGGTTTACAAAATAAAGTTTTGAATTGTTTCTTTAAAATGTTGTTGGGGCGGCTGTGGCTGGGTGGTTAGAGGAATCATTTTCCAATGAAAAATTTGCACATTCAACTCCACTGCTGTTCAGTCACATGCCAAAGTGTCCTTTGGCAAGACACTGATCACCCACTGCCATTGATGTGTCCCATCAGTGTATGACTGTGATTAAAGCACTGATTAGTCTCTGTAGAATGATTTATCTGAATTAGTTTTGTAGCCAGACATGCTGTAGTAGAGTGCTGTGTGAGTGAGTAAATGAGGACACACACTGTAGAAAAGCATTTGAGTACCCTGGTTAGTTAGAAAGACACTGTAAGTACAATTTATAATTGTCTGCTTCAAGATTTTCATTTTTTCCCTTCTTATTTATCTCCAGAGATGGAACAATGAATATATTACCTGGGATCCAGATCAGTTTTGTGGAATTGACAACATTTCTCTTCCTACTGAGATTTTGTGGAAGCCAGATCTCACAATTGAAGAAATGTGAGTGTATTGAACACAACCACAAAGCTCAAAGGTGGGGTATTGTGTATTTTCCTAATCAAGCAACTATGTTACCTTCAGTTGTTCTGAAAATACTTTATGTATCAAATTTGACTTTGCATCATAGCCCATCTACATGCCTTGAAATTGGCCTCTGTCTCTTTAAGAACAATTTCCTACATTCCCACTTCAGCACATCACTACAAATGGATGAATGAATTATTTTAATCTGAAAAGAACTGAGAAGTAGTTAGTATTACAAGCTCAACAGACCCGCAGTTCCACCAGATGTGTATTAATCAGTGTGCATTGCCAATGCAATGCACACTATTGTGATTCGTTTCCCATCCAAGCCATCTCAACTTTGCCATGCTTCTCCTCTTGCATACTTTGCCCTAGAGCTGCCATTGTAATTTATATCTGTAAAGGTCCTGTGCCAAATGATTGCTATGCCTTTTGGTACCTGTACAACTTGTAGTTTTTGAAATATTAATGTTGAAACTTTATTCCAAATTCATATAATGGGAGTCAATTGGGCCTGGTAATGGTCCAATACTGCCCCCAGCTGTACTCAACTTGGTACTGCACCATAGTTTTTTTATTTAATCTCAATAGTTCAGTGTTTACAATACTAATATGATTGTATTTTGATGTTTCACTATAATATTGTCTTAATACTGCTCAATTGTTGTAATATTATGCATTTTTGTGTCAATAATTGTGTTGGCAATATGGCCTCTTTCTGCTCACATACAAAGCAACCCCTGCCACCTCACTCTGCCACAGCTCCATTGGTCTAACGGTCTATGTCATGGACYTTCATGTGAGAGATCAGGGTTCAAAACCCAGTTAATGCAACTTTAACAAAAAATATCTGCCAACTTCATATTGTTACTCAATTACCTTAATTACAAACACCTGCTGACGTGACAGGCACAAGCTGGTATAGAAAACACATTTGAACTTGGTCAAAGTTCATTCTGCAAGTCCAATGCTGCAGGCAAAGCCATGCTGCAATGACATGCTACATGGCAATGCACACTTGTTTTTACATYGTAAAAACCCATGTCTAGTTATTGCTGCTGTCCGCTAGTCTGGGGGAGCTGTGTGGGKGAGGGGCTCAGCTGCAGACCGAGCTCCTGGGACAATAGTGGTACAAATAGGCAGTGCTTTGTACCAGCAAGTGTTTAGTCAGCTTCACATGGCTAACACAGGAGATTCAAGGATTTCTCAAACATGCAAGTCAAAGCAACATTCTGCRTATGTTTTTGATGTGGGAATGATGTTAGAACATGATACAAAGCTTAAAAAAGTTGATTTTGGGTAATACCCCCTTTAAAGAAATCTGCTCTGTGATGACGTTTCGTGTAAGAAGGTCCACTTGTCGTGCTTGTATCTGTGTTTTCATGCAGGACGGAGAAGGACAAAGCCCCTCCAAGTCCGTACCTCACCATCAACAACCGAGGAGACGTAGAGGTGCAGAACGACCAGGTGTTAGTGAGCACCTGCAGGATGCACATTTACAACTTTCCCTTCGACATTCAGAGATGTAGCCTGACTTTCAAATCTGTCATACACACTGGTGAGAGCATCTTTCGAATGTTTTTGACCGATAGAGACAAATAATAAAAAAAAATAAAGTGACCAATATGCAATCAGGGAAATAAATAGACCAGATATTGGTGAATACTTGAAAAATCAAATCTGATCTCTTCGAGAAGTCATATTTTCAAGTGCAGTTAACACAGACTTGCGAAAAAAAAAACATTTTTTTCTCTTGTCTGTTTAATTTAAAACAACTGACAGCTTTTTTCTCCTTCCCAGCTAAAGACATCAGGCTGCAGCCAAGTGACAACTCTTCGGAGGCCACAGAATGGAGTCGGGAAGTGATGCGGACTCAATACGAATGGCTCTTCATCAACATGACAGTCACAGCCAACAATGCCACTGAGTTATCTGATCAAGATATTGTTGTTTATACGGTGTGTTTCAGATTGACACAATATTTCACAATTATTTAACACTCAGCATAAAAAACATGCTGTTGTCCTTCTCTAATTTCCTTTCTTTTCTTCTAAATCGTTGCTTTTCAGATTTTCAGGTTCATCATGTCTTAAATCAGTGATGGGCACTGGAAGGGGCCACCATTTTTTGTTGACAGTAGCAGAAGGCCACATAGCACTGCACACTTACCCAAATGTAATAAAACTGCCAATTTGAAAAAGGTTTATGTATTTACATGATTATTAAACCAAAAAAGTGAAGTGACTTAAAATATTTCCTGCTTAAATGCATGTATAACAGTTGTACTCTTGTTTAATGAATAAAAATAGAAAAAGTTTAAAGCAAACAAAAAATAAACATTTATTTTAGGGAGCTGAAGTGCAACAACATAAGATGCCTTGAGTGCAGACTCCTACGTGCTTCTGGTTCTAGTAATAAGTTGCTGTTGTTTATGTACTTGCAGCTTCAGTAAATGTTTGATATTTAGCCTTGTGCAATGTGTTGTTGTGACGACTTATAATGAAATCCTTCATGGCAGACAGCATCTCCAAACAGACTAAACACATGGGTTTGCCTTAAAAGTATAAGTCCCAAAATAAAAAGAATTTAAACAATTTTATATGTATATATATGAACTTAAAATAGCAATCAATTTTTAAGAAAAAAAAAATACTTTTTTTCTAGGGGCTCATTGGCAGGCCTGATAAAACTCACCCACAGTTGCCCATCCCTGTCTTCTTATGTCTTCTTCTTCCCCAGATCACCATGAGGAGGAGGTCTCTGCTCTACATCGTCAACTTCTTGCTGCCCGTCCTCTTCTTCTTGTGCCTGGACCTGGCCTCCTTCATGATCTCAGACAACGGCGGTGAAAAACTCAGCTTCAAAGTCACGGTTCTGCTCGCCATCACGGTGTTGCAACTCATCCTCAATGAAATTCTGCCCTCCTCCTCGAACAGAGTCCCACTCATAGGTAAAGAGCTACAGTGCTGATMAGTACTGACTGCATGACATGCACAGTTGTTGTGTATTTCCATATTAAATGATGTGTCGTCTGCTCTCCCCAGCCGTTTACTGCATTGGGATTTTCACCCTGATGATGCTCAGCCTCCTGGAGACGATTCTGGTGATGTACCTGATTGAGAAAGACTCTCAAGACTGTGAAACAGCTGCAACTGAAAGCGCGATCCATGAATCGAACAAAAAGAGCAAAAACAACTTTCACAGCTACAACACAGGTGAGACTTCAGGTTCGATCCAAATATTAACATACTTTTGCGGAGTTTAATCCTATTCGTTTAAGAGCTGAGAAAATAAAAAAATATTTATATAGCTGGTAACACAATGTATCACTTCTTAAATCGTCTAAACCTTTTCAAAGGATTTATGAAAAGCGAAAACCAAATTTTAAATATTTTTTAATAAGCAAACCTTGCCATTCAATAAATACATTAGCTTAATATGTAAAGCAATACAATGA